AGCATCGCGCGGTCGCGTTGTTGTTGGTATAGTCAAACAGAGTCAAGTACGAAACGGCCGTTAAAGAAGTAATTAACGCTCATCGGCTATTCAAACTGTTTGACCTTTGGAAAAAAACGTCTGCATTACAACAGCGAACGAAGGAACACGGACACAAGATAAGTAAACAAGTATGACGTTAATTTAATTCCAATAATCGAAAGGAAAAAAAACCTATAGAAATCCAACCACATTCGGTTCCTAGTGCCCTTGTACTGACTTATTGAATATAATGATAATAATAATAATAATAATAATAATAATGATAATAATAATAATGATAATAATAATAATAATTACTTAAGATGACCTTACGTACACACATACAATTGTTGAAATACAGTTTCTACAATTTTAGATAAAAGATTATTCAATGGAAATATACAAATAGCTGAATATATTCTTAAAGCGTTCACATTTCATAGTTCTGAGCTCCTTCACAAGCCACAGCGATAAACTCCATGTCATCTGATCGACTCGTTCTATGAATCAAGAATATTCTCCTCGCGACCAACACCAATCTCGCTATAAACATCACTACGACAAGGCACAATAACACTATCGCGAAGACGTAATTCTGCTTGCTTGATCTGTTCTTTGCTACGAGCCCGGACAGGGCGACGATGCAAGCTGGATAAATCGTCACGGTATATCTGGCAACACGTTCAAAGACAGTGTTCTCGACAATGAACCATACGATCAGCTCAACAGCGAGGATTCCAAGGATGATCGACCCAGCCGTAGGTTTAGCAAAGCCGTGTACGTAGATAAGTGCTTTGTTGATTCCCAAGAGTGATGCGACAGCTACCCACGAGCAGTACAAGCCAAGTCCATTATGGATAAGAACCTGTATGGCCCAGAAGTCGAACTTTGGGAAGTGTTTGTTGACTATCCTGTCAAAGCGGTAGAAACTTGTTCCAAGAGTCGCGCATAGGAAGATATAAAGTAGGCAATTTGTAACCACTTGAGCTTCTATCAGAAAACGATGGCGCAGAAGAACCGAAGATGTCACTGAAACTGAGCTTAAAGTGAAGAGTACAAAGAACAACCAGTTCTGGACGGGTGGTAACGATTTACGTACGATAAACGTCAGTGAATATAGGATCCACAAACACTGCCAGGTATAAATTACAGGCCAGATTGAAAAAGCCCAACTCGCTGGCTTCACGTCAGTTGGATACATCCTTGAAATCCCACCACCGGTTTTGTTGCTTGTGCCGTAAATGAACTGCAAAGACGGAGGCCGTCTTTTGGGATCTGACATCTGACTGATGAAGAGGTTGGTAGCATAGGCTAATGCTGCAAGCACGATGAAAATACAACGAACTATATGTGCGTTGTCCATCTTTAAACACTAGGATCACTGCAACATTGAATCAACTCTGTCACACACAGTCTTCGAAGAGTGTATTAATAAGATTTGAACTACGGGCTGTTCAACCGAGTTATATGAGGATCCAGTTCTTCCCTGGCAGCACCCTTTGATTGCAAATAAAGTTGTTATTAAATACACAAAACTAATGTGCCAGTGTTACGTAATGAGACACTTGATATCTAAAACGTGGTCTTCAACGTGTATACGTTACGTAAGAATACAACAAATAACAACTTTTAAAAACATAAAATTGTTCCTTTCGATGCTAGCAGAGAAATAAAATCTATTTGAATTAAAATTTAAATATCTGGAACAACATGGAGGGCTATCTACGGGCCAAAAAATCTCAAAAACCGGCTTTTCATGCCTTGTTTCAAGGGCATTAGGACACCTAAAGTGTGGTTGTTAATCGAAGTATTATGATCATCCGGGTGGATGTAGTCCTGAGAAGGACTGTTTTATGTGACTGACGTTTCGACAACCTGAGCGGAAGTCATCTTCAGAGTCAAGTGAAGAATAAAAGTCAGATTGGTCATATTTAAAAGTGTGGTTGTAGCCTCCTCCACAGGCATCTCCTTGGCTCTTTTTGCTCCTTGGGCTTCCTGTGGCGAGGGCAAAAAAGTCAAAGGGGGTAGGAGGAAGGGAGGAAGAAAAAAAAGGAAGAGGAGATGTCTGCCAAAAATGAAAAACTGGTTGACATTACACGCATGTTGATTGCGCATACCAAAATATCCTAAGTATGAGAGGGTCGGGTAGTAAGGGGCCTTGTGTAGGGAAAATTGTTGTTGTTCAGAACAATTAATATTGTCATCTGTTGGGAGTCTAAGTGAAGTCGAAAGTGTATTAGAAAAAGTTGCTTCTTTGCCGCCAGATCTACAAAATATAGCGACCAGTTAGATACGCTGTGAAGGCTGGAATAGTATTGGAAGCGCAAATTGAAGGAAGTTCTCCTTCATAAACGCATCCCACATGGAAAGGAGTGAATATGCGTTCAAAGCCACCAGCATCAAAATCAAGGTTTTTGAGTTTGCTGGTCATAGCAAGGGGTTAATCATCTACGGTCTAGGGGCCGACTAACCTCTCCCTTAGGCTTCGGCCGAGCTTCCTGATCAGTCTGTAAATCTCCGGATAGCGGTGTCGGGGCTGAAATCTCCGGCGTAGCCGTAAATGCTTCGCGCTGCCATACGACGGTTCAGCACTCGATGTCTGGAAGTATGGTCCTTTATTCAAAATTATCAAAAAGTAAAAATCCCAAAATCATGTTTCCATCAGTATATGTGTCTATTTACTCATAACTACATATATGCACAATATAAGTCTATTGACTGTCTAGTGTCTATTTGTGTCTATTCTTGATCGATGGAAGGGTTCATAATTGACACGCATATGTCTACTCATACAAAATAGACACCCACGATATGAGTGTATTCATTGCGTGTTTCCTTCAATATCTCACGTTAGACGTGGGCCATTAGATTATTGTGAGTGGGGAAGGGTTGCCTAAATCCCCAAAAAAGTATAGAGCCAGCACTTTATCTACGAAAAGTAATATCGCGCAACCACTCCTTTCAGAAAAGAAATATCGAACAAACACGAAATAATTGCTTACTAGCAATCACGTGACTTTTTGGAGTTGACTGGGGGGCAAACAAGCGGTTGACTGGGGAGCAACTAGCGGATGCTAAGTCAAAACATATCAAAATAAGTCCTCAAACTATTGTATTTGACTATTTTCACGACATCAAACCAGAAAACAAGAGATCAAAACAACCTCCAGGATTTTACGAGCCATCAAAAAAAGAGCTATTACCGGAAGTGACGTCTATTGATAGCAACCTATTGCGTGCAGGGGGTGTTACAAAAAGTATCATGCAACATGAATTCCTGCAACCCCCTCCCCCTCAATTATCTAATTTTCGAGCGATCCCTGTGCGTACTACTTTTACTAGTTACTCCTTCAAAAGAAAATGATTTTTAAGAAAGTCGCGCGCTCACGAATTGCATGTGCGTAGTTCAGTCGAACATTCACGTGCATAATTCTTTGGATTAAATTATATCGATCATTTTAAATCGATCCGAGACCACCTCTTGAGGATTTCTAGCTACAGTTTGTCTTTAGACCGATTTCAGATGGATCTAAATGGCTTACTGTATGACACATGTTTTGATTGAACGAATTACTGGAAGAAACTGATGGAAGGCATTTCATTGTTACGTGGCATGTCGTACAACGTGTACAATGTTGGTACAAGGCAATACTCGAAATGCGTTTCCTACTCGATCATACAAAAACTATTCTTTTTTAGGCTTTATGAAAGGCTTTATTTTTTCTAATAAAGAACTGAACCCACTTTTCACTTTTTTGTCTTTTCTTGATTTATAACAAGAAATATACAGAATTAAAAGTGTGTCCAATTCTGGACTATCCCTTTCCTATAACTCAAACTGACTGATTAATGCATCACTTTTAGGCATTCATGACTTCCAGCAGGACTTTTGAATGACTGATTAGCAACGATTATACCACTCTTCACCTGGTTAACTTTATTTTACGGTGAAATAAGCTTAATCTTATATCCATTTCATTCTCTAAACCTCAAACCTCAAACCTTCAAAAGTGTTGATCAAAAGAAGAAAAAAGAAAAAAAAAAAGGTAAATCTTATTATTCAATATTATTTTGCTCTACACCGTGTTGAACCAATAAGGGTCGAAGCAAGCTGTCCACGGTACGGTTGCATTTTGGCGGTCGAATTCAGTTTGGATTAATGTCGTGATCGTAAGTTGTTGTGTTAAGTACTGAACCCTGTATAACACTTCTTTATCATTTACTTATACTTTATGTTAGGCTTATTAAATCTTCTACGAGAACCTTCTTCTAGCCTACAAAATAAATAAATCATTTTTATTTAAGTGTCTAGTCGTTCTAGCGCTTTCACACTAGCTAATTGCGGACACTTTTCGCTCACTCGCACTACCACTACATTTAATATTCTATGCACACAACGCTCAACTCACATGTTGATTTTTACGGAGGGAGGAAAGCGGAGAACCCGGAGAAAACCCTCGTAGCATAGGAGAGAACAACACATCAAACAAACTCAATTCACATGTGTACTAACTATCGCAGCGTTTTAGTGTACGCGGTCCTTGTTTTTTATCTTTTACTAAATATTACTATAAACAAAGATTACTTGTTGAATGTCTAATAGTCAAATAGATATAAAAGAAAACGATGGAAAAAAGATCTACGAACCTCTATTAGTCTACTAACTATTCACAAATTAACTGAGTAAAACCACTCTATTATGAGACATGCAAAATTTAATCATATTCTGAGGGAAAAATAAAGATCATTTCTTTAATTCCTTCTGAATAATTTGTCTTAAACCTCTTTTGACTTCGACGATATTCTTCGACGACTCTTTCCTATTTTCTTTTACTTCTTTCATCTCTTCTTTTAAATCTTCCTTTCTTCGTTTGTTAAAGTGCTACTACGATTTTCGTCGTAGTAGCACTTTAACTTGTTTTCGTTCTTTCTCGGTTTGTTTTTTCTTGTTACTTCACCGAATGGCTCATCCATATTCAGACCGAAATACTACGTACTATATATAGCTACTTTGATCTAATAGCTCAAACTTTTATTATCAGTCTACATATTCACTTGATTCCTCTATCTGATTTGAACATTAATATAACTTTTTACCGATACAGCGTCCATCTTGAATGCTGTTGTTTTAACTGAAACAAACTTTATTCTTCACTTGAGTCTGAAGATGACTTCCGCTAAGCAGGTTGTCGAAACGCCAGTCACATCAAACAGTCCTTCTCAGGACTACGTCCACCCGGATGATCATAATACTTCGATTAACATTCATTCACCTGGGTTCAAACCGTTCCGCATACAATTAACTGAAACAATATGGGATGCCGCGAGGGGGCAACTATATTGGAAAATTTATAGGCTGCACAGCTGTCAGGGTTTATTTTATATACGGTTTTCAAAAGCAATGGAATTTGCTGTTGAACCCGAAAACTCCAAAATTAACCCCGCCACTTTATGCTTAATGAATGTTATACGTACGTGTTTGCCCCCTCGACATCCCATAATTCAAGATGGCCGCCGTATCAGTAAAGCACTTGGCTATTAGACGCGTACGCTCGAAATGGCATCTGTATTTTTGCACACTGGTAGCTAAAACGCAAAACATTGACAAAAACGCGAGAAAATAGAGAAAGGCCCCGTTCGGATTCTTTTATTCCTTTTTTAAAAACAATCGTCCACATGCCGCGTAGCATTTTTGAATTTTTCTCGAGTTTTCTCATTTAAAAATCTTCCAGTTTTTAAATTATTTTCGCATTTAGAAAGTATCAAATTAAAGTGGGAGGAACAATGAAAAACACCATGTATCGACGATTCTTTCAACAAAAAAGCCTTAATTACAGGAGTCCTTATAATGACAAAATTCAATTCAAAAATAGTGAATAACACACTTTTAGAGCACTTTTCTTTTTCATATAAATATAAGTTAATAGTCGGCTGAAAACTCGACCTAATGAATCAAGTTAAGTTCATAAAACTGTACTAATAAAGTATAAGTTCTACCATTGCTTCAGTGACTTTTAACTCACTTCAAAGGTGTTTTTTCCTCATCAAGTGATAATAAGTTCCGCGTATTTAAAACCACGCACCAAGTTAAGTCAATAAAAGCACTAATGAAGGACAAACTCTTCTATTATTTCGGTGGATTTTGAACTTTTTCAACAGTGTTTTTATTCATTAATTGTTAATAAGTACTGAGTATTTAAACACATCACACTGTAATTCTTGTTACTTGTGTGGATTCGAGCCATTCATACCCAAAAGAAGTTTGAAAACTGAAGTTGGTATTATTAAGGATGAAGAACTTCGTGCTTCCATTGGCACTTTTTATCGTGCTAATTTTTTCGCAACAAGTTTCGAGTCAACAAGATCCATGGCTGTGTCTCTACTCGTCTTCAGCGCCTGGATGTTCAAAACGTGAAATGGTAAGCCTGTAAAACGGCACTAAAGATTAATATAAGCCATTTTGTTCAAAGAAGGTAAACTTTGCCAGAAATAAATACGGGCTGCAGCTCGAGTCGCTCGCA